TCAGAGCTGCAGATTTGTTCAGAGTGGAGAAGAAGTGAGTCATCATTCGGGGAAACAGGGAGTGCTGCTGCAACCTTGTGTGTGTGGAGCTGAGTGGTGAACGAAGCTGCTGGTTCCTGTAAATGCAATCAGCCAGAGTCATTCAGATGTTTTGGGTCTCAGCTCACTGCACACACACACACACACACACACACACTGGCTGTCAGACTCGAGTGCTGAACAGGCTTTTCTTCCTGTCGGTGTCGGAGCTGCAGGACTCGGCTGTGAGCCCGGCGGCCGACGTCGCTAAGCTGCTTAGCGTTCAGCCTGCCAGAACGAGACGCCAAAACACACACACACACAAAGAAGAACTGAAACACACACACACACAAAGAAAGAACTGAAACACAGACACACAAAGAAGAGCTGGCGGCTCAGTCGTCACACAGAGCAACAGATCAACATCTGACATTTTTACCGTTCAACTTTCACTTCAAATGCACGTTTCACAATCCACAAACAACCAACTTCAAACTTACAACGTACGTTTTTGTGTCTGTGTGAGTATCTGGGACAACATGCTGCAGTACTGAGCGAGCACGAAACAGGACTGCAACGTAAAATCCTTGCGTCCCTCAAAGTACGTCCACTAAAGAGTTAGTTTTTTTGCCACTGACAGGCTCAGATTGTTGTTAAGTGTCTGTAATCATCATGGAAAGGATCCCTACAGAGAGAGGCCTCTTTTTAAAGAGTGAGATCCTTTGTGTTTAACCACAAACTGTCACATTTATCCCTCTCGTCCAACCCACCAGACTCCATTGACAAAAACAGTCATTTTACCTCTCTTGTCTACTGCTGCCTCGATCGGTTAGTTTCTTTGTGTTATTGTGTGACTTTGGTGTTTTTAACTCTTTAAAACACCAAAGTCACACAACAACACAAACAAACAAAAACGCCAGAGTAGCACAATAACACAAACAAACCGACTGACCGAGGCAGCGGTAGAGCAGCAACTCCCATGATCTGCCAGGTAAAATGACCGTTTCTGTCAATGGAGTCTGGTGGCTTTGACGAGAGCACGTCTGGTTAAACAACAAGGATCTTAGTGTTTAATAAAAGCTCTCTCTCTGTAGGGATCCTCCCCAAAACCTCGTCAGACACTTTCACTAACAATCTGAGCCTGGAGCAATTTCAAAAAATGTCCAGATTACTCACACAGACGCACATAAAAAGAAAATCCAGCAAACTTATTTAAATGCCTTTAAATCTCCGCGTGTCGCACAACCCTGCAGTCAGCAGCACACGCCGTCTTGGTGTTAAGAGATTTAACCTCCGTCAGTTTTACACTGAGGAGGGAAACTTTCTGGGTCAAATTCCAGACTCGCAGTAATAATTACTGCACGGCCTCTAAATACGCAGAGACATATGTCTTCTTCCACGCAGAGAAATGCGTCTCAGTGCTGAGGACACCTGCTTGTTTCATGGAGCACGAACGGGAGTTCACCTGAAGTACTTAACACGAGTATTTCCATTTTCTGCTTCTTCCCGTCCGCAGTTTTAAAAGTACAAAACTTGTCCCGTCAGTCATCTCACGACCCGTCGGGTTTATCTGCCGACCCTTTGGAGGGGCCCCGAGCCCTATGTTGGCCCCCTGGAGTTCCTGTGATGTCACTTCATCAGTATTAATAATCCAATCATGTAAAATATTATAATACATCATTCGTGCAACAAGTACTTTTACTTCTGATACACAGAAAACACATTATGTTAAAGAGTATAATATTCAGATAATGTAGTATTTGATACGGTGCCCATCGCCTAATGAGTACTTTTACTGTCGGTACTTTTTGTTGCAAATACTTTTGTACTTTTACTGACGGTACTTTTTGTTGCAAATACTTTTGTACTTTTACTGACGGTACTTTTTGTTGCAAATACTTTTGTACTTTTACTGACGGTACTTTTTGTTGCAAATACTTTTGTACTTTTACTTCGGGACATGTACTATAAATATTTAGTGGTTGCAGTGCAGTAGTATAAAGTGTAGTACAACGTGTAGTATAAAGTGTAGTACAACGTGTAGTATAAAGTGTAGTACAACGTGTAGTATAAAGTGTAGTATAACATGTAGTATAACGTGTAGTGTAACATGTAGTATAAAGTGTAGTATAACATGTAGTACAACGTGTAGTATAACATGTAGTATGACGTGTAGTATAACATGTAGTATAAAGTGTAGTACAACATGTAGTATAAAGTGTAGTATAACGTGTAGTACAACGTGTAGTATAACATGTAGTATAAAGTGTAGTATAACATGTAGTACAACGTGTAGTATAACATGTAGTATGACGTGTAGTATAACATGTAGTATAAAGTGTAGTACAACGTGTAGTATAAAGTGTAGTATAACGTGTAGTACAACGTGTAGTATAACATGTAGTATAAAGTGTAGTATAAAGTGTAGTATAACATGTAGTACAACGTGTAGTATAACATGTAGTATGACGTGTAGTATAACATGTAGTATAAAGTGTAGTATAACGTGTAGTATAAAGTGTAGTATAACATGTAGTACAACGTGTAGTATAACATGTAGTATAACGTGTAGTATAACGTGTAGTATAAAGTGTAGTATAACGTGTAGTATAAAGTGTAGTATAAAGTGTAGTATAACGTGTAGTACGACGTATAGTATAACGTGTAGTATAAAGTGTAGTACAATGTGTAGTATAAAGTGTAGTATAACGTGTAGTATAAAGTGTAGTATAACGTGTAGTATAAAGTGTAGTACAACGTGTAGTATAACGTGTAGTATAAAGTGTAGTACAACGTGTAGTATAAAGTGTAGTATAAAGTGTAGTATAACGTGTAGTATAAAGTGTAGTACAACGTGTAGTATAACGTGTAGTATAAAGTGTAGTATAACGTGTAGTATGACGTGTAGTATAACGTGTAGTATAAAGTGTAGTACAACGTGTAGTATAAGTGTAGTATAACGTGTAGTATAACGTGTAGTATAAAGTGTAGTACAACGTGTAGTATAAAGTGTAGTATAAAGTGTAGTATAACGTGTAGTATAACGTGTAGTATAAAGTGTAGTACAACGTGTAGTATAACGTGTAGTATAAAGTGTAGTATAACGTGTAGTATGACGTGTAGTATAACGTGTAGTATAAAGTGTAGTACAACGTGTAGTATAACGTGTAGTATGACGTGTAGTATAACGTGTAGTATAAAGTGTAGTATAACGTGTAGTATAAAGTGTAGTACAACGTGTAGTATAACGTGTAGTATGACGTGTAGTATAACGTGTAGTATAAAGTGTAGTATAACGTGTAGTATAACGTGTAGTATAACGTGTAGTATGACGTGTAGTATAACGTGTAGTATAACGTGTAGTATAAAGTGTAGTATAACGTGTAGTATAACATGTAGAATAAAGTGTAGTATAACATGTACTATAAAGTGTAGTATAACGTGTAGAATAAGTGTAGTATAACATGTAGTATAAAGTGTAGTATAAGTGTAGTATAACGTGTAGTATAACGTGTAGTATAACGTGTAGAATAAAGTGTAGTATAAAGTGTAGTATAACATGTAGTACAACGTGTAGTACGACGTGTAGTATAACGTGTAGTATGACGTGTAGTATAACGTGTAGTATAAAGTGTAGTATAACGTGTAGTATAACATGTAGAATAAAGTGTAGTATAAAGTGTAGTATAACATGTACTATAAAGTGTAGTATAACGTGTAGTATAACGTGTAGTATAACATGTAGAATAAAGTGTAGTATAACATGTACTATAAAGTGTAGTATAACGTGTAGTATAACATGTAGAATAAAGTGTAGTATAACATGTAGTATAAAGTGTAGTATAAAGTGGAGTATAAGTGGAGTATAACATGTAGTATAAAGTGTAGTATAAAGTGTAGTATAAAGTGTAGTATAACATGTAGTATAAAGTGTAGTATAAAGTGTAGTATAAAGTGTAGTATAACATGTAGTATAAAGTGTAGTATAAAGTGTAGTATAAAGTGTAGTATAAGTGGAGTATAAAGTGGAGTATAACATGTAGTATAAAGTGTAGTATAAAGTGTAGTATAAAGTGTAGTATAACATGTAGTATAAAGTGTAGTATAAAGTGTAGAATAAAGTGTAGTATAACATGTAGTATAAAGTGTAGTATAAAGTGTATATAATGCAGTATAACATGTAGAATAAAGTGTAGTATAACATGTAGTATAACGTGTAGTAAAAGTGTAGTATAAAGTGTAGTATAAAGTGTAGTATAAAGTGTAGTATAACATGTAGTATAACGTGTAGTATAAAGTGTAGTATAAAGTGTATAAAGTGTAGAATAAAGTGTAGTATAAAGTGTAGTATAAAGTGTAGTATAACGTGTAGTATAACGTGTAGTATAACATGTAGTATAAAGTGTAGTATAACGTGTAGTATAACATGTATAAAGTGTAGTATAAAGTGTAGTATAAAGTGTAGTATAAGTGTAGTATAAC